ATTAGATGAGCTAATTCTACCTTATTGTACAAGTGTATTAACAGATTCTTGCAATTCTGGTGGTGAACTGTCATGTTTAAACAATTAGGGCAGGACTTTCCTAAATTTCTTTCCTTTCTGACTGTTAAGCCACCGGGGGGGCCGGCCTCCTGCCTCTCTTGTCTGACTATTTTATAGGTAGCATCTATTCCTCTTGTTCTCCAAGGCCATCCACTCATTCCATTACAGACAGCTTCCCTAAGACCAACCATTAACAATAAAGGAATAAACAGTTAAGATGTATGCCATACACTAACACTTGGTGGGGTAGCCATGAAGGACATGAAAAAGATATTCAGATGCCTTGATGTATCTATGCCTAAAACATCAAAATCATGTAGGCAATGATTTTCCCAATGACGAAAATAAAAGCTGGAGTTTGAAGGAGCAAAACAGAGAGAATATTGATGCTATTGAACTTTGATGTTGGAGAAGATTCCATGGAGCACCAAGAAAAGAAAAGAAAAATAGATCATAGAACAACTCAGAATTCTCACTTTTCTCTGCCATTCCTTTAGTCCTTAAATTACAGACTACTGTGATCATATTTGCTATGCCATATCTGCTATGATCCTGTAAATCTTCCATCTCAGTCTTTATTCCAGAAATAGTCTTTTGAGTCTTGTCTATCTCAAGGGTGTTATTTGTAGCCATTATCTGTCTGAGCAATATCTGCTATTTGCTGTGACATTTTCTTAAATTGTTTATTCATCTTCTCTGGCATAACTGCCAAGTTTTAGATACTCCCACAGCATGTTACTCCCATTCTGTCCTTTAGTTCTTTTTAAAATTGTTTTATTAATTGTTCAATCACCTCCTTATCAGATGTTGGTCCTTGGCTGTGGGCAGTGTTTTCCTCTATTGCTTTTTCTTCATTAGGGGAAGCATCTTCAACCTCCTTGGGATCTTCCAAATAAGATTTAATCTGCTTTTCTTTGCAGAGTTTCTTTCATGAACATCTTGCTTTACTTAGTACACTGTTTAATAAGATACTTAATAAGGGGGATTGGTTAAAGGAAATAACTGCACCAGGAAAAGAGCAGAAAACTCAGCACACCATCCTTGTCTGTATAGACCTCTTCAGAATTCTCACTTGAGGCACAAATTACCAGGCTCAAATTATCATATTTTGGACACATTAGTTGAAGAGCTAACTCTCTTGAGAAGTCTATTATGCTGGGAAGGTGGAAAGAAAGGAGATTTTAAATATCTTTAAAAAAGAGAAATCTGCTTGCATATACATGAATATGGCTCAGGACAGTGACTCAGTGGTTAAGATGCTGGCTTGTCGGCTGGAAAGCTTGCAGCCCAGGTTTGAGACCTGAGCACCACATGATGGGGTGAGCTCCCATCCTTGCGCCAGCTCCTGCCAACCTAGCAATTTGAAAGCATGCAAATGTGAGTAGATAAATAGGTACCACTTTGACGGGAAGGTAACAGCGCTCCATGACATCGTGCTGGCCACATGACCACTGAAATTTCTTCAGATAGTGCTGGCTCAATAGCCTTGAAACAGTGATGAGAAATGCTCCCTATAGTTGGCAATGAATAGTGGAATAAAATCCACAGGAACTCCTCTAACTTTATACAGGTAGTCCTTGACTTACAACCATAATTGGGTCCAACATTTCTGTTGTTAAGTGAGACTTTTGTCAAGTGAATTTTGCCCCATTTTATGAACTTTCTTGCCACAGTTGTTAAGTAAATCATTGTAGTTGATAAGTTGGTAACATGGGTGTTGTTAAATGAATCTGATTTCCCCATCAATTTTGCTTGTCAAAAGGTTGCAAAAGGTGATCACATGACCTTGGTAAACAACAACAGTTGTAAGTATGAATCAGTAGCCGAGCATCTCAATTTTGATCACATGGTCATGGGGATGCTAGATAGGTTGTAGGTGTGAAAAATGGTCATGTCACTTTTTTTCAGTGCCGTTGTAACTTTGAATGGTCACTAAATGAATTTTTGTAAGTCGAGCGTTACCAGTACATGAACATAGCTGTTATTTTACAAGAAACTTTTAATATGCTTATTGACCAACTCGCTAATTGCTGGTTAGCAAAGAATACTAGTGAAGTGGTTGCTATACACCAGAAGAGTATATTCCACCAGTAAGGAATTAGAGTTATGGCTTATTTCTAATGAATTAGGAGAAGGTGCAAGATTAATTAACTGTTGTGGTGTAATAAAGCACACCATTTCACATTTCAAGAACCCCTGATCTTGCCTGGTTGCATCATGAAGCACTGTACTGTGGCTAATAGTTTCTAAGTGCTATTATAGCATGTTTATATGGATTTCAACAATTAGTCCTTGTTTTGAGAAAATGCACTCTTGATAACCTGATTCTTGGTCATTAATCCTGGTTATATCAGTAGCTTGATTACTTTTAAATGTTAGTATATCTATAAGATTAATAAATAAATAGATTACTTACCGGATACTTTCATCATTGACATTATACAGCATATCAAGGTTATATATTAAATACTTTTTTCACATCTGAACAACTATTCTACAAATGGAAAAAATGAAATTAGTGTCATTTTTAGATATCAGGTGATTTCTAAATAATCTCTGAGTCTACAGACGGAAATAAAGTTATACACAAATACCAAAATAAGAGAGGAAGGAATTATAAAGCTGATGAGAAGAATGGGGCAGAAATAATTTCAATCTAGTACAGATGTATGACTTCTGGTTATTAAAGTAAGTCAGATAACTCAATTATCCACATATTTTGGATATGTACCAATTTGTTTAGTAAAGGAACTATCATGAACCAGGTTTTATTCTGATGAAGAAGAAAACTGATGATATAGAATCAGAAGCATAAAAATCAAAAGAAACCATATCTCCAAATGTGTGTGTGTGTGTGTGTGTGCGTGCGTGCACATGTGCATACACACATGCATGCACATGCATGTGCACACGTGTGTTTTGCTGTAGGAAGGTCAAACCTGACTTCAGAACTTATAGACGTCCTTTCCTATGAGAACTCTTCCTCTTCAAGGAAACAGCTACTTTTGCTAGTAAACTCAACCTGAGAGAACAAAAATATTGTTTAGATATCATCTTGGATATATAAAAAGTGAAAAAATGGAATACCAATTTTAACAATAAGCATAATCTGCGAATCATCAAGCACAAAGCGCATAGGATACAGCCACAGTACTGATTCTGAAATACTTCTTTAAATGCAATAATACATTTATTCTCTGTATCATGTAAGGTAACACTTTTGGCCTTCCATCCTGAATGCAGCCAGTTAGATTCACCCAATGACCTGTTTTTCCAGTTCTCATTAGTTTTCCAGCCTTAATCCTGTGGGCTGAGTTCAGTTAGGCTGTGCTGGACTGACTGTGCCTCAAAAGAATTCCTAATAATAATATGTAGCAGTTATATAATCTTTCAGAATATAATCACATACAAAATTGGATTGAACTCTTTTAATAACCATGTAATGTTGCAGAAGACAATGGAAAATCACTGTAGCCCTTACATTTCCCCAGAAAATCGTTCATGGCTGTGAACAAATAGAGTAACATCAAAATAATGCATAGGCTTGATGGTCACCATCCTCCCGTTAAGAGATGGCACTAAAAGAACAACAACCAGGTAAAGCATAGAGCTATCCTTCTGCATATATAGACACCTATTAGATCAACATCTGCTTTATGTAAATGCTATCCTAATTCCTGAATATCCTCTTCTCTACTATATCACTGCTGATCTTCTAATGCTCAGTTATCCAGATATGATAGCCTAATAAGTCTATAAGAATTTCCAGATGTTTGGTTTCAGGCTATACATCACACTGATGTTTCATAACAAAATAAACAATAAGTCATAATCCATGGTCAGAGAATAAAGGGTCCAATACTACCCTGGTAAAGATGCTTTTCTATTAGAGTTTTTTTTATGTACAGGTGGTCCTCGAATTACGATCACAATTGAACCCAAAATTTCAGTTGCTAAGGGAGAGAGTTGTTAAGTGAGTTTTGCCCCATTTGGAACTTTTCTAGCCACAGTTGCCTCAGTAAATCGTTGCAGTTAAATTAGTAACACGTTTGTTAAGTGAATCGGGCTTCCTCCTTGATTTGCTTGTCTCAAAGGGTCACAAAAGGTGATCATGTAACCCCAAGGCACTGCAACTGTCATAAATACATGTCAATTGCCAAGCATTCACATTTTTATCGTGATCATGGGATCCTGCAAGAATTGTAACTGTGAAAAGTGATCATAAGTCACTTTTTTCGGTGCTGTTGTAATTTTGAACAATCACTAAACGAATGTAAATCAAGGACTATCTGTATAAGACAATTCAGCTCAGCCAGATTTGTTTATGCAAGAAGAGCCTTTAATGTTATAGTCATGAGATACGTAAGTAGATTATTTGCATACGCAACTGGATTTATAAAAGGACTTTGCATAAAAAAGCTTTTTTTAGACCCAACAGAAATATTATCATTTAAGCTATGTCTAAATATGTGTGTGAAAGTGTCTGTTTTAGAAATAAAAAGTGTGCCTTGCAGTAGCATTTCAGAGACAAGATAGCTTTTATGAACAAAAACAAGAATGCCCTATGGTATGTATCACTTTGCGCTTGTTGCATTAAGGTCGACATATTTAAGACAAAATGCACGTATAAAGCAGTAACCACAGATGGAGAAGAAACAAAATGTTTCTGGAGGGGCATATTGTTCATATCAGCCAAAATAATTTTAATAAAATTAAGAAGGCTGCAATTGGGTATAGAAATCATCAAATGTTGAGAACTCCGCTACCCTGATTTTACAGAGGTTTTCCCAGCATTAAAGTAGCCACAAGTAGGAGATTCAATGAAACATTTTTTTTTAATTAAAAACTTTATTATTTTATATTTTCATTACAATTCACAGTTTATACATGGTAAGACAACTTTTCTTACCATGTTGACATTCAGAACACTGTGCTGGGGGGGCAATGGTGGTGATGGGGCCTTTTTCTTTGAAGAGCTTGGCCTGATATATATTTAATGGAACTTTACTGATCTGAGATGTACACTCTTGTTAACTCTTCACCGATTGCTATTTACACCTATAACTTAGATTTGTTAGGAAATAAACGAAGCATTCATAAATTTAACATTCATAGTTTATACTGCTATTAATAATAATCAAATGATACGGATATGTTATTTATTCCAATTGAAGTCCCATTTTGTATTAAATACTCAGAGCCAAGAGTGAAGGCCTCCAATAGCTCTGTCAGTGTAAGCTCCTGTGATTTCAGTGGAGCTCTGCACCTTAGTTATGCTTTGAGGATCAGGCTGCCTATTAATCTTTTAAGGGGTATTTATATACAGCCAGGTTGCAACAGAATAAAATGTTGAAAACAATTTAAAAGACAAGCCATTGCATTCCATTCCATTATTTTAAATTCTGCATTCCTTCTGGATTTCATACACACTTAACAGAAGACACAAGAAGCTATAAAATTAAGTTGTTTTCTTTTAAAACAATCAAAGAAAGTCTAAGGATTGGTTTCAGATCTGCAAAATCAGCCTATTATAACCAACCAAGAACCATCTACTTGTACTCTGTGCTATTAATCAACTATTTCCATGTCTGCATTTGTCTTCAGATACCATCTACTGTATATTCTTGGTGTTGAAAGTCACAGTGATGCCAGTTTCAATTGCATTCCTACTTTTATTCCCAGCTGCTGTGGGCAAAAATGTAGGATGTAACATTCAAGGAAAGCAATCCAGCAGGCACGATCCCTGTGCTAAGTGAGCTTCTAACATGACACAGATAAAACAAACGGAGAGGGGGTGGGGGTGGGGAATGAATGCTTTTCTGCCAGCAGCACTGCATTTACTAGTAGCTGACCTGCTGCTGATTCAGGATTGGTCTGCATTCTTTATATGCAAAAGAATCTATTGCACCAAGATGTATCTCTTGTCAGATAATTTAATAACACACAACTGAAGATTTTTGGTACATGGTGCATGGGTACGAAAGGTTGAGTAGAGTTTAAATAATGAGACCTGACATGGATCCATAAATTCTACATATCAATTGAGTGTACATGTATTATCTGCCCCTGAGTTTTTTTTAAAAAAATTATAGGGGACACCTTTTGCAACCCTTATAATTGCAGTGCCTTTAAAGCTAGATTAGAAGTGGCGTTTTGATGTCCTTGATTTGGCATATTTCTTAACGCTGGTATCCTTGGCTTCAGACATCCTTAAAACATGGTTGGGGAGGAGGGCAAGAGGAAATATAAACATGAGCTATTGTACTCATGCAAGAACCAACAAACTAACAAAAACCCATATGAAAGATATAGAGATTCTGTTTCTTTAAAAGATAAGGCACTGACAAAAATTTCTTAGGTAAAAGGCTGCATAAGATTTTCTTGCCATTTACATATAGATTGTAGTCCATGTATGGTCCTTTCTTAGGCTTGGCATGGTAGACCCTGAAAAGTTTAAGGACTGATCTCTCAAAGCTACATTGTTAACCTAAACCAGCATTATTCATTCTTAACGCCTTATGGCGCAACAGGAGAGATGAAGAAAAAAAAAACAAAAACCAGTCTGGGCACCAATATATATTATTTTTTTTAAAAAAGGCATTGAACATTGCTTAGTCCAGCATTTGTCAATGACCAAAGTGCCATTCACCTTGTGTCTTTCAAGAAATATAAGGATGACTCCATATTGTGGGTAGATTTCTGTTGGAACTCATGCATATGAATTTTTAAAAATGCTATTGGCATCGGTTATGGACAGAGGGAAAATAATCGGACCTACAAGGTAAGTCTAAACCATAGGTGGCTTCTTATTAAAAGATCAGGCTTCAAAGTCACTGCTACTTAATGTTCTCAATCACAGCAATTTCTTCCGCTGCACAGTGAGGAGTCAAGCCATTCATATAAATGCTATCTGTCTTTGTGATGGCAGGCAAGATATCTTTCTCGCTGGTGAGGTGGTTGACAGACAAGGTTCTTTTGCAAGGAGTCAGGTCTTGGCTGTGATTCACTGCCATTTCTGCAGAGAGCTTTCTTTTGATGGAGGTAGCCCGCTGGAATTTGTCATAGATCTCAACACTCAGGCGCCTCCGGGTTTCTTTGAACTCTGCGGTAACATTGGCTGTCCATTCGGCTGCATGAGCTCTGAACTCTCCCACCTAAGGAATCAGGTAGGAAGAAGGAAAGAGAGAGAGTTAGTGTTGTGTTGCATTTTTTATTTTAAAAAATGGTGTATGTGGATACAGTTGCAAAGGAAAAAAAATGTGTTCAAAACCTGACATCCTTTCTAAGAGATCTTCTGTTCCTTAGCTATTTCCTTGGCTATTTAATTAATCTCTATTTTATTCCAGTCCAAGGATTTAACTGCCTCCTTGCTCATCTAATAAAAAGGATGCACAATGCAGCATCTAAGATCTTTACCTCTAAAGCATTTCACATCTCTTTTTATAATGTTGCACAGGCCATTGAGGTGAAATTGCTTTTAAAAATTAAGGCTTGACAGCTGAGACAAGTAGAGCTGAATTCCCAGCAATCCAAAGTGCATGTTATGTGTTGTTACCAGGGGAGATGCCATGGTTATTTATGGATACTCTGGCTTGTGCATGTAATAATTCCTGTGAGAGGCAACATAGGCCTTTCTATATTTAGATGGAGAAGGCTTTTAAAAGAAAAATGTCAGCTGTCGCAGTTCTATTTTTAGGGCCAGTTCCAACTGAGGATTAATGCAAGTGACAGTTTTAGTCAAGTCAGCAGAATAATTGCCAGCTTCTCCTTCCACTGCAGTATAATACGGTATTATAATGTGAGACTTAGAATACATTAGAATGAGATGCTTCTTGACATTAACATTTTCCAATCTGATGCATACAGGGCTCAGAGGATGGATATGATGATATGAGATAAATATTTCTTTAACTAATTAAGTTCAGTGACATTATGGGATGATTTTCATTATGACATTAACTTGAAAGGAAGAATCAGCAGAATCTAAAATACTCTCCACCCTTAAAGAAGAATTGACTGTGAAACTTTCTAAACCCCAAACTCCTAGATAACACCCAGTTTCCCCCATTTTGCCAAGATGGAATTGTCTAATCAGCTCAAGCCAGTCCTGGATAGCCCTCTCCGCATAAATATTTTGTGTAACACACATGGGTATTTTTGTTCATACAGGTAGCCCTTGCTTACTGACTACCTCATTTAGCGACCATACAACATTACAGAGGTATGAAAATACCAGCTTGGTGACCAACTCTCATATTTAGAATTGTCACAGCATCTTGCAATCACATGATGGCCACTCACATACTTTACCACTGTCTTCCAACCAGCAGAATTAATGGAGTATGCAAAAATAAAATTGTAAGTCATAGTGATGCAATGTCTTATTTAATGACTGCAATGATTCCTTTAATGACCAAAGGAAAATAACACCAGAAGCCTTTTGCAGCCATGTGATTAGCTACCAAGTTGACAATCCCAACTGTGGTAATTAAATGAGGATTACTTGTATTCAAGCATGCAAATGCATATCTATACACACACTGCATCCAAAAGTTACATGCTAAAGCATGCCAAAACCAGCACAAAAATAATAACTATTCATTGAAAATAATTTCCTATAAAATAAGGTAGTCCTTTTATAAAACAGATCCCTCTTTATGTACATGAACTGTTCCAGAGGTGGATTCCGGCTGCTGCTACTGCTGGCTTGCTCAGTGAGGCACTGCGTGAGCTTCATGCACACACACACACACACTTGATCCACTTTATGCACAGTACTAAAAAATGCTTCAGTGCATACCCAGAAGCAAAAAACAAGATGGTGGCACCTATGGCATCACTGAGAGAACAGGTTTGGGGGCGTGGCAGGCTGAGTTACTACCTACTCAGCTGAACCGGAAGGAACCCACCTCTGAACTGTTCCCTTGTTCACTGAAGTGGTACCTATTTATCTATTTATATTTGTATGCTTTAAAACTTTCCAGTTGGCAGGATCTGGGGCAGGTAATGAGACCTCACGCTATTGCACAGTGCTTGGGTCTCGAACTCAGCCTTTCAGCTTTCTGGCTGACAAATTCAGTGTCTTTAATCGCTGAGCCAGAGTCCCTCTAACACCTACATACATACAGCCCAAATTCCCCAAACATCCTGGTAGGAAAAAGAGCAAGCGAGAGCTCAATGCATTCCAATATTTTCATCTTTTTTGTCCTCAAATCAAAGCTCATCTATCATTGCAGAGTTATCATTAATCAGTTTAATGAAAAGAAGGGTTAGGAGTGATATGATAGCAGTGTTCCAATATCTAAAAGGCTGCCACAAAAAGAGGAGGGGTCAATCTGTTCTCCAAAACACCTGAAGGCAGGACAAGAAACAGATGGAAACTAATCAAGGAGAGAATCAACATAGAACTAAGGATAAATTTCCTGACAGTTGGAACAATTAATAAGTGGAATAACATGCCTCCAGCAGTTGTGGGTGCTCCAACATTGGAAGTTTTAAAGAAGCGATTGGACAACCATTTGTCTAAAATGCTGTAGGGTTTTCTGGTGAGCAGGGTGTTGGACTAAAACAGGAGTGTCAAACTTGCATAGTTACAACAGCGTCACATGACATATCAAGACTGTTTTTCCCTTTGCTAAATCGGGCAGGAGTGGAGTCAGCACATGACACATCCAGCCAGTTCCACTCCCGCCCAATTTATCAAAGGGGAAAACAGTCCTGCTATGTCATGTGATGCTGCTGTGACGATGCGAGTTTGTCACCCCTGGACTAGGAGATCTCCAAGGTCCCTTCCAACTCTATTATTCTGTTAACTGTTACTGGAGTCATGAATGGACAGCCATATAAATTAAACAAACAAATTATCCAAGATTCTGGAGACCTATTTTCTTCAGTGAGGTGTTTTTATTCAATTACCAGAGTTTCATATTCATATTTCTTGAGTCCTCTACTGGAGCCTGCCAGTTTGAGGGATCTGTGCAGTATCTCAGCTGTTCCTAGCACTAAAGTCTTCTGGACAGAGAGCTCTGAAGTTGTTCCTGGAATCTGCTGAAAAGTCTCGCCCAAATTAGGAGTCATCATCCCAAATACTCCTACCACTACTGGTATCATTTTGGCCTTACTTTCCAGACGCTCTTTAGTCCCTCCTTCTCCAGCTTTTTATACTCCTTCCTGATGATGCTGCCACTTGGCAGCTCTATATCTACCACCACTGCTGTCTTCTGATCCTTGTCTCCTTGATATCAACCTGATGTCTGCCTCATTGGCCAGTATCTGCCTTTCCTGTCTGGAAATCCCATAAGATCTTAGCCCTTTTATTTGCCACAACCTTTTGTGGACATCACTCTGAACCTTGGAAAGTGTAGTTTGTAAACTCTGAGGATGTTCCTGTACACAATGCCAACTACCTGGTTGTGCCTTTCAATATATGTTGCTCCTACTTGCATATTACATCCTACCACTACATGTTGGACTGTCTCTGAGGCCTCTCTGCACAGTCTGCACCTTGGATCCCGTCTAGTGCAATCGACCCCAGTAGAATGGATCTGGTATATAGTGCCTGTTTTTGTGTTGCTATGATCTGTGTCTCAGGGCTGTCTTTTAACCCAGCCATTTCCTGCCACTGGTATGATTTTCCAATGTTAGGCACCTCAGCTACTTGCAATGCTTTTCTATTTACAGAATACAGAATAAGAGTTAGAAGGGAACTTGGAAGTCTTCTAGTCTAACTTCCTACCTCCTAACCTCCTACATGAGCAGGAAATCTTTCCACCATTCCAAACAAATGACCAATATCCAATATTTTCTTAAAAACCTCCAGGGATGGCACCTACATCTGACCAATTAGCTCTCTGGATATGTATAAATGACTAAACTATTCCAAAAGTAGCACCCAAATTATGACAAATTAATCATGACAAATTGTTTTATCACAATGGGTCTCTGTAGTCTCTGTAATATTAATTTAGAAATGAAATTCTCCATAACTCTTTTAACATTACCCTAGATACATTTAAATAGAAACAATTCATAAACCCTATATAAGTAATGTAGAATTAATGCAAGAAAAAGTAAGATTGTTTTTGGAAGAATGATTACGTATCATATTGAGAATAGACCTATATATAGTAATATCATTCTTTTCTGCTTATATCAGAACATAGTTTATTATAATAATATAGACAGTTTCTATCATTCATTCTATCTAATCCAGATAGATTCTCTCGACTCCCAATATTTCTGTGTCCTAAAATGCACTAAAAGGAAATGTTACATTTTCATAATGGAGCTGGCTTTCTCATGGATTGCTAAAGACAGAAGCTCAAAAGGTTACAAATGGAGAACTATGTAATTTTCAGACTGCCAGAGCATATAAGCAACAAACTATTGTAATTTAATTCTTCTTCCTATTATAAAATCTTTAGTGCCTGTTCAGCCTTCTTTTGTCCTTGAGGTATGACATTTTCTCAAGCTACACTCAATTTTAATCTTAATTTGTAGCCTGGCAGTAACTCAGTAACTGATGCTGCATGATTGAAATACCCGTCCTTTATGTAACTGAAATTGCAACTCCAATAGTGTGCTTCAGAAGCTCTCTTTGTTTGTTGTGTTTTGAATAGGAATAATATTGTTTGTGCCTGCACTTAACATACACCTTATTATTTCTGAATAATGAATGCATTCTAGAATTGCATGAGAGGGAACTTTCTGCTCCTCTTCTCTCTTCTTTTCCCTCTTGTAGTTTTTATACTCTTAAAGTGATCTGGCAGCTTAGAGAACCATCTGGAGCAAATTTTTAAAGTGTATGTGGAGGGCTGCAGAGGGAGGGCAAACTACCTCCTCTCAATTCAATTCATCAGCATAAACTGGTTTTGATTATTATAAACTGGATCTCCCCGTTTGTGAACATATCACATTTTTGCTACTGTATAAGTGCAAAAAAATTGGCTCAAATATATTTTAATATACAACCATCCCAACACATCTAGGAACCGATCTGCAAACTGCTAATTGTCCAGAGAGCTGGTTTCAATGTAAGAGATAATGACTGTTTCAAGTACTTTGACTATTGGAGATTCAGTTTTGTTCGAGAGTGGGCATTTCCTATTGTTACAGCACCTTAATAAAATAGTCTTCTTGTGTGTACCTATATAAC